TGAAAACCAGCTTTCGTAGTCGAACGGTACACACTCGGTAAGTAATCCTATAATTTTTTGTTTATAGCATAGTTTATACAGATTATTCCCAAAAAATTATACGTATTTTGGAAATGTTGAGTGGAATTAGTCTAGAATCGGTTAATTTTATAGAAGAAAACCTTTCAAACAGCCTTAGTCCGTAAAGTTCCCACCTATCGGGCTGCGATTGGCTCATGTATTTAATCGTTCCTACAACGTAATTTTCGGTTAGCGTGGAACGTATCTAAGTGTTATAGGGGGGTCTACTGTATTGTAAAAATATGTACAATTTAGTTGCCTTGCCTTTATCTTCAAATCTTATAAAACTGAGTTTTGTCACACTTCTGAGTGCATCCCAGCTTTCATTTTTTAATATAATGTATCACAGAAGAAGGAAGATTTCTTCTAAGCATACACACACATTGGTTTACAGATTTGCCCAGATGGGCATTTTCTGACCCTTTTTGTTAAAACTTCTAGCAACAAAAAACATCAGCAAAGTTTAATTTATCTATATTTTTTTTAAAAATGACTTGAAAACAATTTTTCAACCTCATACCAAATCATAAGCATGACAACACAAGCAAAAACTTGGATAAATATGAAAATTTCTTGTTAGATTCTGATTTTTTTAAAGAAATTTACATTATTGGCAATCCATAATTATTTAGAAAAAGAAGTGTTTCTATTCACCTAAAATTATAGCAAGAAATTTTAAAATCTAAAAATAATCTGAATTCAGCAATATATGAAAATCTAAATTACATGATAACATAATTTAGATTTTCGACCTGAAGATGGCCTGTTAATTGGGCTGAAAACGTTCGTTTTTTTCAATTATATGTATTTCTCGGCAACAAAAAGATGTCTTGTTTCTGTTTACATGATAACTATTTTTTTTTAACATCCATTTTTGATTATTTTCTTGTAGAGCAGTGGTTCTTAACCAGGAGTCCACAAAGTTTTCAGAGGTATGTGGGCTTAAAAAAGTAAAAATCAATTTATTATCTTAATTTTGTGTTATTGTGTGAAACTGTTTATAATTATGTTAAGAAAACACATATATTACTATAACATATGTTTATTATTTTAATAAATGCATTTCTATATAACTGATTTCTTTTGTAATTTTATTTTACTGTATGCATTTAAAAACATTATTCCAAGATGAAGGTCCATGTCCTTTGTCTGAATGAAAAAGAGGCTTATGGAACAAAAAAGATTAAGAACCCTTTAAGTAATGAAAATGATCAATCTTATACTATGGTTTGATTCTACAAATGCTTGAAGTCATTACATACACTAGTATCACAGTTCTATCAGTGATCAGCAAAATCATTACCATTTATGAAATTTAATAACTTTAAAGTAAAACTTACAATAATAATAAATTAATTTTATATATAAAATTCAATACAGTAATTTATATTTAAAAAAAAATACATTAAAGCTACATAAATTACTATTTTCTATTCTGTACTCTTACCTGTTTTTGAAACAGTCAACACATAAAACACATGTTGGATCAAGTCCACAGTCTCTGCATGAATATGTTGGTTCGCTTGCTTTAAAAACTCGTCCACAGAGAGTAGGAGGGCATTCCACATTTCTAATTTCTTCAAATACCTTTTTAGGTTCATTGGACTGAGTAATAAATCTTTCTAAGGGATTAAATAAAAGATGTTCAGCCTTTTGTTCATCATACGTTAAATTCAAACAATCACAATCAAATGTTGGACTATAAATTGCTGGAACATATTGTGCCCAGTGGACTCTCAGTTCATTAGAATCAAGAGTTTTACACTCAAATTTTTTAATCCAGTCATGTATTCTAAAATCTAAATCATTATGAAATTTTGACTGGCAGGTAACTTCATCAACTTCATCCATAGAATCCATTTTGAATGTAGTAATAAAGTAGCTATAAATAAACAGAATTATTTAATAATTTTTATAAAACATTTCAAAATAAGAAAATTGTAAGCTATTTAAGTTTCAAAATATTTTTATTTTAAATATCAAACTATATTTATTATTAATACAAATTTTATCTATATTAATAAATTCATATATAAAAATATTGTTAGAATAACTATTTTTATACAGTGATTGTCAGATACTAACTGTAATTTCTTAGTTCCATTATACATTTCACTCCCTTTTGTGTATAAGTTAAGAAGTTAAGATTAAAAATACATATGTTGGTTAATTGACATTTTGGCTGCCTTATATAAATTTATCTAGTATGTAATTAGTTTTGGTACAAAATTTGCCTTAGTTTTTTTGCACTTGTGACATGCACAAAGCACATCATTTAAATTTTCATATATGTTCAAGTCACTGTTCAAAAGTTTTTCAAATTCTATGTAAAGTAAGTTGTAGTCTTTGCTCTGTTAGCCATGAAAGAACTTCAAAGAAACATGACAGAAATTCAGCAGATTTATTTTTTTCAAAAAATAAATAACTCTGAAATCTGGTATCTGCTAAAACCTGGGAATATTAGAAGAAACTTGGTGTAGTGTCCCATTAAGAAGTATAAGGAAACTAGTAGTATTGCGGACTGGCCAAAAAGTGGTCATCTGAGGAATAAAACAAAATTGCTTAAGGGTAATTTAAGATTAAATAAAAATAAATCCTTGCCAATACAAAGAAAGCTGGCCTTACAGATGTCTCAAGAAAAACCATTCATCTAACATTAAAAAACGACTTCAAGCTTAAGGCTTACATTGTACTTACTAAATGTACTCAAAAGAAGAAAACAATAATTTGCCTTTTGCAGAGGTATAAAGATGATGATGTAAAAAAAAATATTTCCATAAAAAATGTTTAATGTAGTGAATAAAGTAAATAAAATGACTGTGTCTATGCCAAATCATTGAACGATATTACTCTACATGTCCAGAAATCTTAAAGGAATGTGATAACCTAGGCACAGGTCAATTAGCAAGGAAAAGCAAAACCCTTCTTTGCCAACTGACTCTGTTTTGTTTCAGCAAGGATTGAAGTGAGTGCCAGGAACTAAAACCAGCAATTCTCCCAGTAGGAATAGAATCACTGAATAGAAGTCTGTTCAAAAATCAAACTAAAACTTGCAAGACTAAGCTATGGCCACAGTGCTAAAACAACACAGAATTTCCTTAAAAGAGAAACTTCCAGATTTTATTTCAAAAGAATGCCTTGCACATTGCCTCATCTCAATCCATTAGTTTACTCCATATAAATTGAAGATCTGCACTAAATCCTACACTAGTGTAGAAATTCCATATTCAAAAATGAGCTACTTTTCCATGGAGAAGCATCTGTACCACTGTAGAAAAGTGGAATCCAAGAATTAAAGCCAATATCAAAGCACATGGTGGACACTAAACATTACAAATTACAGTATAATCTCTAAATAGCAGACACCATTGGGACCAAGAAGTTTGTCCACTATTTGGAAGTACAGTACATGACAGTGATCATATTGTATTTTAACCTGGTCATCATAAAGTAAAGAATATAATAGATTACAAAAACATCTAATTTGCATTAGAAATGTGAAAATACCAAAAGTATACATAGCATACATAATTAATATATATAAACAGTATATTATTTATCTTTTCAGCTGTAAAAATTGAATTTTAATTGAATTCCAAATAGCAAACAGATTGTTAGGATACTTTAATTAAATGAAACGTAAAAATTATGACAAAATGTAAATGTTGATTAATTATTAATTCATCAAAAAAGACCTGAGAAGAAGTAACAAAAAAAAAAAAGAAAGAAAGAAAGAAACTGTTACTATGAACAAAAGAGTGAACGAAGGTCTGTTTAGGTGACAATAGTTCAAATGTTGAATTGCAAAAATGATTTGCTAGCCACTTCGAGGGGTAAGAAAGGTATTCGGTATTCTCACATTCATGATGTCATTTATGATCTAAGCAACAACTAATAAAAATCGATAAGGTAATATGTCTACTTTGTAGTTATTGAGTGGATGTAATTTTTCAAACATTTTTGCTTTTTTCAATAAATTATTTATTAAAAATTCTTTAGCCACTACAAAGCTGTTAAGATCATAAATGATGTCATAAAATCAAGAAAACCAAATATCTTCCTACAACTTCGTAACATAATCTTTAAACTTTCACCAAATAAATGCTGTTGTCTTAACCTTAAAACGGTTTCTTTTTCATTACTACTACAGTTCTTGTTGAACAAATGAATAACTTTGGAAAAATTTATGGTTTCTTGGTACCATAAACTTAATTCTAACAATAAGACAGAAGTTTAACAACATTAATATGTATGGCGACAAATGGTAATTGACAACTTAACCAGATTAATCTTCTCTAACAGATAATGAATATTGTTCAGTTTTTACAACCTGCTCTCCTCTCCTATTCCTATTTTAGGCCAGTCTTTATTCGACACTTACACACAAAATTCATCCTCTAGAAGAGTATTTGAACTGATTCTTTGCTTTAGTTTTAAAATATTTTGTGCATAATTAATTCTTTCAAGAATATCAAAGGCAATGTTTTCATGTTGTCAATGCTTTGTGTTTTCATAAGATAGGTTATGGATGATGGTGTCTGTTATTTAGTGTGTCCGCTATTTAGAGATAAATATTATAGATATCCTATTTAAAGGGTTTGGGGATTGTAAAAATGACCGTTAAGTACAGGTGTCTGCAATTTGGAAATGTCCATTAATGGAAGTTTTCCTTGTATCATCTTATCTACCTTATTACTTACTTGTTACAAAAAACAAATTTGTTATAATAGCGAGGTTGAGGCTGAAGTTTTAAATGTGAAAACATGTACGTCGGACATTCAGCGCCACTTTCCTGTAAGCCTAGAAGTTTGACAATGGAATGCTGAGCATGATTCCACTGATTATCCAAACACCATTGTCAAACTTCTAGGCTTACAGGAAAGCGGTGCTGAACATCTGACGTACGTTTTTGCATTTAAAACTTTGGCCTCAATCTCACTAATATTACCTTTTGATAAATTTGAATTGTACACATTTATTTTCGTACTAGAACTTATTAGCATATGGTGTAAATAATTTCTACAAAACTAGCCACAATCATTATTTCTAAAGTCTTACAAAAGTGATCACAGTATAGAGACTCCATTAAATTTATTCATCACAAAATTTAATTGTTACTTTAATTAACTATAAAACTCAATTCATTTATCTACAAAAACTTTCTGATAATTTTATTTTTGTTAAAAGAGAATATTTTATCCAATGTACTAATATTCTGATAGGTGAACCAACCCAATCTATTAATTGTTGACAATTTGCCAAACATTCAAATGTTATTGTTGTTTAAATATTTCAAAATGATCACCAACTGCTATTCTAGATCAAAATGGTTCAACTGACAGAATGTGAATTTTTAAATTCTGACTTTCAAATGCCTAATTGCACCTAGTACTCTCTTACTTCCATAACGAGACAATGCAGACAATGTTCATTAACTTTATTTCATTATAATCAATATATCATTTTCTGTTCCATTTGAATCTATGTAATCCTTTAAGGCAGTGCTACTTAAACTGTAATCCACAACAGTTTATTACTAGGGTGAGATTTCATTTAAAATTTCATAATTTTATATATTGCATTAATAAAATTTTAAAACATTTTTAAAACATGTTATTTATTACTTTCAATTTTCATTATTATTTAAACACTTAGTGCCAAGAATAGGCAAGCAATCTAAATGGACTTGGGAAATTACTTGAAAACAGCCACAAGCCAATTTTTTTATCATTAGAACCAAATCTTATTGTATTTTTCTTACTAATTCAATCTAAAAATTAAAATAAAAAATCCATTTTCTAACTTTTTTATTTAATTTCACAAAAATACTGATCTGCAAGGGACTGAAATGAAAAAAAAAAACTGGTCCTTGAACAAAGTTTGAGAAGCACTGCTTTAAGAGATGTTTAAAAGAATCTTTTAATAAACATTACATTATTAAGTGCAAAGAATTTAATTGAGGAATGAAGTTACTTAACCTCCATTTTCCTTCCATTTGTCTCTCTCATTTTATATAATGGGAAGTGGGAATTACTATTATTAAAGTCAGACATTTTTTTCATCAAGTTGTTAAAGTCAAAATTTTGTAAATTAAACACTTATAAAACAAAAAAGAGATTACAAATAGCTCCATTATCTGCATATTAATGTTAATCTGATTGAAAACAGAACCACCAGAATAAAATGTTCAGAGTTATTGGTATAAATGTTTAATTTAAATATTTCAAATCAATTTCTCAAAGATAAAATTATAATAAATCATCATAAAATACAGAATAAATTTAATTTTATATTTTTGTTCAATTAAATTGTTCAAAAATAAGTTTTTTTTTTGTTTGATAGAAAGATAAGCTATTACTTTTTAGCAATTCATCATTAGCAACTTAAACAAGAAACAAAAACTATGTAAAGACAGATATACGAGGTCTGTTCAAAAAATAACCAAACTTTACTTTTTTAATTTTTATTCTTCAAGTTACAGATTATTGGTCCTTGTCTCCTTCACAAGGTACTCCCCTCCCCTATTCACACACTTTTATTCCAGCAGTGTTTCCACTTTGCAAAGCAGTCTTGGTAAGCTTCTTTTGGAATGTCCTTCAATGCTTGTGATGAATTTGTTTTAATGTCATCAATTCTGTCAAAACAGCATCCTTTTAGCACTGATTTTAATTTTTGAAACAAGAAAAAATCTCAGACAGCTCTGGTGAGTAGGGAGGCTGAGAGAGGACAGTCATTTGATTTTTGGCACAAAACTGGTGAAGTGAGAAGGCTGAGTGAGCAGATGCATTGTCATGGTGAAAAGAATCATCAGTTGTTTTGCCACAACTCTTGCCTCTTTTTTGCAAATTTTTTCACACAACCATTTAAAAACACCTGCATAAT